TGCGAGTCCCCGCTCTACTGTCTGGTACGCAGTGAGGTTCAACATCAAATGTTAACTCTTTAGCTAGGAGGAATTGGCACACCTGGACCCTAGAGGAAACGGAGGCACTTAAAACCCTGGAGGCGAGGGTGCACCCATTTCCGCCCATTGGTCAATTGGGTTTGAAAAACTGCCTTCAGTGTAAGCATTTGGTATTTTAAAGAATACGTTAAGGGGCGCCTGGGTGGGTCAGTCCGACTTCGGCTCAGGTCATGATCTCACAGTTCGTGGGTTCGAGCCCTGCATCTGGCCCTGTGCTGACAGCTCAGAGCCTGGAGCCTGCTCTGGATTCTGTGTCTCCCTCTCTCTCTCTTTTCTCTTCTCCCACTTTTCTCTCTCTCTGTCTCTCTCAAAAATAAATGTCAAAAAAATTTTTTAAAAAAGAATATGTTAAACAAAAATAATCTATGCTCCCTGAAAATATTACTGTTATGCATTCTATGATCCAACAAAAAAGCAGGTAAATCGTCTAATGGTACTTTCCATCTCGAACTCCAAAATCTCTAAGCTCAAACAGTGAGAAATCATATTTGGTGTTTTAAAATTGGTAAGCCATATTCTGGAGTGGCGTGCTCAAGTCTTAAAGCCCCGGTTACAAATTCTGTGATGCCTCACTGCGGCCTGAGTAAATGTTCCCTTTTGTTAAGGAAGAGTCGAACAGTGATCTGGGGAATTCATTCTGCTCGGGGCTCTAAACGCTACGGGAAAATGCTGGTATTTTTCCCTCTGCAGTGTTCCAAGGTGCAGCTTAGCTGGTAATGTCTACAGGGCAGAATGAGTCAGCGATCTGAGTCACTTTACCAGAATGTATCACATGTGTTCGGTTCCAGGTCACAAATAGCAGAGCGTCTGGTCAGGGGGAGGCTCAGGGCTGAGAGCGCAGCAGAGCCCCGGCAAGAAAACAAGCCCCAGAACTCCCCTCAGACTCCAGCTCCCAATAAAGTAGATGAAATTTCAAGGGTAGAAAATCCCCTCTGTTCCTCATTTAAGGGAAATTGATTTGAAATGAAAACAAGTAGAAGCAACACATCAAATGTGCTTAGCAGGTAGTAGGTTCATTCAAACAGTCTTGTAAGTTTCCTCCTTTGAAATTGTCTGGGAAATGACTACTTTTACAAAATGTATATGTTATTGGTTGAATTGTATCCCCTCTACCCCCAGATTAATGTATTGAAGCCCTAACTTCCAGTACCTCAGAATGTGACCTTATTTGGACACAGGGTCGCTGCAGATATAATAAAGATGAGGTCATTGGGTGGGCTCTAATCCAGTGTGACTGGTGTCCACGTAGAAAAGGGCAAATTTGGACACGGAGACAAGAAGAAAGATGATGTGAAAGTAAAGTCCGAGGGGCACTGCATGGCTCAGTTGGTTAAGCGTCCAACTCTTGATTTCAGCTCAGGTCATGATCTCATGGTTTATGAGTTCGAGCCCTGCACTGAGCCCTGATTCGGGCTTGCTTCTGTCAGCTCAGAGCCCACTTTGGACCCTCCATCCCTCACTCTCTCTTTGCCCTTCCCCTGCTCATACTCTCTTCCTCAAAAATAAACATTAAAAATAATAATTAAAAAAAGAACACAGGCAAAGTTTGTTCCAGTGAAATATGTGCTCTGATCCCCACAGATTTTTTTTTTCCTGATTAAGGCTTTATTATTTTTAATTTTTACACTTTCTCGTTTTGAATATGGATTTCGTTTTTGGCAACGTTTATTTCTCTCTACTGGATCCACCACTAAATGCCAGATCGGGAGCTACACTTTGGGTGAGCAAAGCCAGCGTCTGGACTTGTCCAATCAACATGCTGTACACCTGAAACCAACAGAACCTTGTGTGTCAACGATACTTCGATAGAAAGACCATGATTGATTGGAACAAAATCAACTACCTGTGATTCCTCTTCTGATAATCAAACTGGCAAGCAATGCAAAGGGCACAAAGGGTCAGGGACACTGCTAATCAGTGAATGAATCCCAATATGTAGTGTGTACACCCCACAAGATGTGTGCTCTATTTTGGACTCAGAACAACCTGAAAGTCATGTGAAAGGGACAGCAGTGTCTTCTCTAGGGCCCTAGCTTCCAAGTCCTCTCTGTAAGAAGGGCTATCCCTCTGGTTGTGCTTCTGGAAAGGAAATTTTAATCCACAGCTCTTCAAAGTCACATTCATTCTGACCTCACGTGGAGCAAAGCACCGAAACTGTATCATTACAATCATTTGCTTTCTGTGCTGGATCTTTCAATAATGTCTACCACCCTGCTTAGATTACAACTCTTATTTGTGGTATATACCACCATGAAAATGAGAAAGAAAGGGCTTAGTGGCTTTCTCCTTACAACATAGAAGGCCAGAGTTAACCCATCTGTCAAAGCAATGGTTTTACCCCCCAACTCTAATTTACCTCAATTAACTTAAAATACTGTCTGTGATTAAATAAATACATGAAACAAGCTCACAATTAATGGAAGACACGATAATCATTTCAGTCCTAAGTTGGTCCTTTAGACTAAATTTTACAAGAGTTCTGGGAAATGGTTATAAACAATGGAGAATTTATAAAAGTCATCATGAAGTAGCTTAGGTCTCGAGGTGCTCTGAAGTTATCTATGAGATTATGAAATTTAGAAACTATGAGATTTAGAAACTCATAGGAACTGGGGCCCTTGGGTGGCTCAGTCGGTTGAGCAACCCACTCTTGATTTCAGCTCAGGTCTTGATCTTAACGGTTTGTGAGTTTGAGCCCTGTTTTGGGCTCTGTGTTGATGGCTTATAGCCAATTTGGGATTCTCTCTCCCTCTCTCTCTGCCTCACCCCTGCTCATGTTCTCTCTCTCAAAATAAATAAATAAACTTTAAAAGATTTTAAAAAAAGAAACTCGTAGGAACTAAAAATATTTCTTTGAGACTCTAGCTGATTTAAAGGGCATTTAGACAGCTGTTCAAAACACACAGAATAATATTGTGGGGATGCCATCATTATTTTAAAAAGTGAGGTCCATGGGAATGGAAAGGGAGGCTCTAAAATATAATCAAATGTAAGTCAGAAATGGAAAGGGAGGCTAAACATAATCAAATGTAAGTAGGGATCCATATCACAGGATGCTCTGTAGAGAAAATCAAACTCTGCCCTAAACTGGGAGATTTTTCCAATGGACAGACTGAATAAATAACGTGCATTTTCTCTTTTTAAGAAATCACCAGACCTTACTAAGGATTTGCTTCTCCATTTCTCAGTCATCTTTACTATCCCCATTATGCACAAGTGAAAAGCTCTCACTCAGCTGATTAGAGTTTAATCTGTGTACCCGTCTTTACACATAAAAATGTCCTTCTTCCTCTTCCCAGAAGATCATATAGTGTTTCCAGAGATGTAATTAACTGCCTGATTAATTACTGGACCTCTATGTAAATTACTGTAAAGATGTAGACGATCATTTCATCACTTATTCAGCTCGACAAACATTTACAGTTTAACATATCTGACAAAGCCGTTTATACACCCCTGTAATCTAAATAAAGGTACGTGAAAGCTATGGTAAGTCTTTAATAATAACAGCCTTAAAATAATTTGCTAACTACAGACAGTTCCCTAAGCAATTACAAGATACTCTATGTTAATTTAGAAAGGAATTCCAAACAAGGCATTTAAAACCTAATAAGATGCCATTAAATGAAGGGAGACAGGGGAGGGGGGAGGAAAAAGAAAACCCTAAGGCTTGAACTAGGAGAAATGATTCTCTGAGCTACTGACCCTTGCAAGATCCATGTTTTCCTTGGATTTCTATATACAAAGCAGATTTCTAATTGAAGGTGATTATCTAGTTACTACATCCCAAATTGCATGTATCTCTTGTATTGAGTCACATCCACATCTAATTATATGGAGCATTTATCAATTTGAAAGTCCACTGACACAACTGAGTCAATATACCAATCACATACAATGAGAACGCGCCCTATAAACTATGAGACACTAATGTAACCACCAAATGTGATTCTTTCTCTCCAGTGACAACAGTCTGCCTCCTGGTACTCATATAGATCTGTGAGCTGAATTATGATGTCAATCAACAGGGAATAAACTTTCCAAAGAAATTGCGGGAAAAAAGCACCTGGGTTGCTCTTGGTTTTTCAAAGGTATGGATACCGGATGCATGCCTGCAATCCACTAGAAATACACACATTGATATTGTCATCGACACCATGAGGAAAAAGAAATGGAATGGCAATGCGCAATTCTAAAAACCAAAAGATGAAATGCTCTATAGCAATTTTTATCTCCATAAATCTGAGCGCTCAGTGCCTTGATCAAGGCAATACAACAGTAAAGAAATACACAGACTTCTGTACAGCACAAATGTGCTTCTGCAAAATATCATCCCCATTAGTTAGGTTAATTAAGATTAACATACAAGTCATTGAAAACCCCCAAAGTCGACATAAGATAATTTACCAAGGAAACACACAAAGACAAGAGTAATATTCACTCTTGAGTCATTCATTTAACAGACTGGAAGGAGAGGCTTGTGAATACTTGAGCTGTCACCCTTGATTACCAAAAATGACATGCATCCAATTAGCTTACAAGGGCCAAAGGACAACTTGCTTTCTTACAAAAGTCTGATGGACAATGTGGGGTGGTGCACAGAGCAAATGGAAGGGAATCTTATTACACGTATAATCACTGTTTTCAGCGGACTATACACACGCACGCACACAAACTTGAATTTTGTGTCTTAGGTCTTGTACTCAGATGAATGAAATAGCACTCATGTTGGGAATCCATGTGTGGCATTTCTCATCGACTTAGCACAGTGTTTCCATCCAAAATAACAACCCGCATTCCTAGTCAAATATATCACAGTGAAGCATTCAGAACAAAAGAGTAACGCTGACTTATGCTGTAGAAAATATATTGTAAAATCCGCCATCCCCCCCCAAAAAAAAAACAATTCCCACCCTTACCTCAAGCATCATGTTCACAGTACTAATGGCCACTTTTATTTCTCCATCTGACAGTTCCTTTAGATCCTTCAGCATTGTCTGTTCAATACTTAACCCTACAGATGAGAGGGGAAAACATTATGTTACACTTGGGGAACTTTTTTGGGTACTATCAAGGGACTATGTAAAGAATTCACCCCGTTAATTTCAATATGTTCCCCCACTAATATCTCTTTTACCCGTAACAAACACACACATTAAGGCAAAAATCACGTTAGAGACAATATTTGCACCAGTTAGCATTCCTAGAAATAGATTTCACCCCTCATGCCACACACACATATACAAACACACACACACACGCACGCACACACGCACGCACGATTTTTTAATGGCAGGACACATACAGAAGTGGGGGGGGTTGGCTAAGAAAATGAATAAAAGATGGTGAAGCATCCAGACACTGCAAAGGAACAAGGAAGAAACAGACTTGAAAGTACAGGAGAGGGGCTGCCAGAAACTCAGTATCAAATCAGTAAGGAAGCCAGGGAAAAATAGTACAGCCTCTTTATTCACCTTCCTTGGACCCTCACACTCCATGTGTTACTAACTCTTCTCACTAACCAAACCCAACCAGAAGCCAGAGTATTAAACACTCTGAGGCCAGTCCCTAGAGGCCCACAGCAGACCAGGGCAGAGAATGGAATGGGGGAGAAGTGGGCAAAGGAGGAAAACCTGGCATAATCATGCAAACTAGCTAAGGAATATGTCACAAGATTGAAATTTGCTTTCAGGATGGCTTTAGTTGAGCCTCCATATTTTCAGTTGTAATTTTATTCAAAATATACTTTGTAGGGGCACCTGGGTGGCTCAGTCGGTTAAGCGTCCAACTTTGGCTCATAGTTCGTGGGTTCGAGCCCCGTGTTGGGCTCTGTGCTGACAGCTCAGAGCCTGGAGCCTGCTTCGGGTTCTGTGCCTTCCTCTCTCTCCACCTGTCCCCTGCTCGCACTCTGTCTCTCTCTCAAAAATAAACGTTAAAAAATTTCAAGGTGCACTTTATAAATATGGCCCATAAAATATCATGACTGAGTGGGTCCCCTTGCAATAGGCTTTGGCAACTGGAGCTACTGGAAGAATAATCTGGAATGGCTAAATTATCTAGAAGGTAGTTTTAGTCAGCTGACCCATGTGTTTCAATAAAATCTATCCCTGAAAAACAGGAAAGGGTCTGACTTGACATTGAAATCCCATCCTAGGTAATTTTATCTTATTAGTCCCAATCTTTTGGGGAGAAGACCCATAATAAAGCCCAACAGGGGTGCCTGGGTGGCTCAGACGGTGGAGCGTCGGACTACAGCTCAAGTCATGATCTCATGGTTCCTGAGTTCGAGCCCCGCATCCGGCTCTGTGCTGACAGCTGGCTCAGAACCTGGAGGCTGCTTCAGATTCTGTGTCTCCCTCTCTCTGTCCCTCCCCCGTTAAGCTCTGTCTCTTAATAATAAATAAATGTGAAAAAAAATTTTAAAGTCCACTAGAGCACATGTATCCTTCCCAGATGCATGTTAAAACACCAGAGCTGACTATTTGCCCTCCTCCTTAGAACTCTCCGTCGATCACAGCAGTGTGGGGAAACAGTTGGGTACGAAATATTTTTCTTTGACTTGAAGACTAAAAGGCCACCATCTACCATACTACAGCATAAGTGATTTATAGAATATATTGTGACGTTAAAATCTTGATCTAGGTTTGAAAGTGAATGGCAGATTGCGTCTCATCATGCAGCCACCCCTACACGCACATGCGCACCTGTACACTTGCAGCAGGTGCGTAGGGGCCCCACCCACACGTCCTCACACCTCCCGTCGCCGTGTGCACCAGCCTGACACCCATTCCCCGGCACCTGCGTCTCTCCCGGAGGGCTTTTCCTGGCCACCAGAGGCTGCTCCGGGGGAATTAAGAGCCCCCAAGACTGAGCAGCCCTCGAGAGCCCAGTGCTGTGCTGGTAAATATTTAACAACCAACAATCAAGCTTGATTTGTAGTGTTTGTTCGTAACTACGGGGTCGATATTTCCACCACCGCTGATTTTCAGCTGCCGACCCAACACAACCCCATTCACAAAACTCCTGATTTTTCACAACCAGTCCCTGGAGCTTGGATGAGCAAGTTCTAACGCACCCCTGCACCCCTCGCTGGGGGGTAACACTGAGGTGCAATTCCACACCCTTTCCCCGGGCTCCCGCATGGGGTGACGGCCTCCCACAGAGCTAACACGCTGCTCCATAAACCACTCCAGCCCCTCTCAGTGCTTCTTGGGTTCGCCTCCCAAACCTGAGGTGCTTTGCCTCAGGCTCTGGCCCTGGGGGATTCCAAACGAAGGGAGAAGGCTTTGTCTGGGTCTGGCCTGGTCACTCACCAGCTGTGTGTGTGACAAGAAAGCAAAGCCGCCCTTCTGTGCCTCAGTGTTCAGGTCTGGAAACTGGGGACAATAACAGCACCTGACTGTCAGGATTGTCATGAAGACTCAGTTAAGATAATCCACGCAAAGTTATACCAGCAAAACTTTGAGTGTATCAGGCATCCATGAATTATATCTATTGTTTAACTGACTGAGCCACCCAGGTGCTCCTAATTATATCTATTATTATTATTATAAAGCAACTGAGCCAGGAAATCCACTATGTTGATAAAGCTTCGATTTAGAGAATAATTTTATCTACATAGCTGTCTTCTCCCGCTCCTTTTTTTTCCCCCTAAAATTAATTGATTTATGAAATCCCATTGTACTTGACATCGCTCCTGCCACATTTCTCAGAACAGAACCTTCTCGGCACAGGGATTTCATGTAATGAGGCATCTGGGGTGCACATTAGATGCGTGAATGAGCCATCCATCCAGACACAAAGGCCCCAGAGGTGAGGCCGCAGCACAGACTGCCCGCTTCCGGGTGAGTCAACATCACGTGCCTGAGAATCTTCCACAGGCACAGGCACTAGGGAAGAAAATGCAGGCACAGCCAGACTCACGTCTGGGCCCTGGCAACATGCGGTCCCAGCGGCCATCCCGACTAGGGCCGGGGCCGGGGGCACTCACCCTGAGCGTTGAATTGGGTGTCCTGCAGGATGTTGATAATGTCCTCTCTTGGAGGTAAGCTGGGAAATCTGTCTTCCAGGATAGAGAGAACTTCCTCCTGCTTCTCTGAGATCTGCTCGGACTCCATGGTCATCCACTTGAAAAGGATGCTACCTGAAAGACACGAATGAAAATGGCCTTAAACTTTCCAGCCAAGCCAGGAGGGGAGAGCCAGGAAAATCAATGTTTTTTTTGGCCTGTCTATCCACACGTCCACTTTCAGTTTCTTGCTGTTTTTTTATATATATTTTTATTTATTTGTAGGAGGGAGAGAGAGAGAGAGAGAGAGAGAGAGAGCGTGAGCAGGGGAGGGTCAGAGAGAGAGGGAGACACAGACTCCGAAATAGGCTTCAGGCTCTGAGCTGGCAGTCAGCACAGAGCCCAACGCGGGGCTCGAACCCATGAACCGCGAGATCGTGACCTAAGCGAAAGTCGGACACTTAACCGACTAAGCCACCCAGGCGCCCCTCTTGCCGTTTTTAGTAAGGCCTTCAGATACTGTCTGCCCTGCCTCTTTGCTCCCCAGGTATTCATCTCTGCAATGTGACTCTCTGCACACTTTGTGGGACAGAGTTTATGGGGTAAAGGGAACAAAATGAATAGCTTTTCCCACACAAACCTACAAAATAGATATACGTGTTTTTCTGATTTCAGAATGAAGTTTAATGGCAAACTGTTTTTAAATATTAATATTACTTAATATTTCCCTTTAATACTCCCTTTCAGAGGCCATGGAGAAGACTGCTCCCACTCATCACATTACACGGTTCTTGTGATCTTCTTCCTTCTAACAACACAAGGACAGTCTCACTGTCAGCAGCAAGGCAGTGAACCTGGGGCCCATTCCCGATGTCCCAGGACCCACACTCTGCTCTGAAGTTATTATTATCCATTTTTAAGAATTCACAAGCTGGGTGTACATTCTAGGCTTTGAATACAAAGTAATTCGCCAATAGGAATGACCAACCTCCAACAAGCTCCTGGAATCGTCTATGCACAATCTCACCATGAGAAAGAGGATTTGCCACCTGTCACATCCCCTTTCCTTGAGCCCTGATCCCAGGCTAACATGGAGCCATGGGGGAAAGAAAAGTTTTGCTTACTGATGAATGATTAAACTCTTACAAGTCTGCACACCTATTGATTAATCAAGGTTTCACCATCTCTCTGGCTTTGGCGTGTCCTTAGTGATAATCATAGGGGAAGGGAAAAGAAAGAAAAAAATAGAAGGGGGGGGAGGGAAGGAGGGAGGGAGAGGGAGGGAGGAAGAAAGGAAAGAAAGAAAGAGAGAGGGAGGGAGAAAGAAAAGAAAAGAAAAGAAAAAAAGAAAGAAAAAAGGAAGAAAAGAAAGAAAGAGGTAAGAATGAAAAAGGAGAAATGGGGGTGCCTGGGTGGCTCAGTCAGTTAAGTGTCCGACTTTGGCTCAGGTTATGACCTCGTGGTTTGTGAGGTCGCATCAGGCTCAGCATGGAGCCCATTTTAGATCCTCTGTCCCCTTCTCTGCCCCTTCCCCACTCTTTTTTTTCCTCTCAAAAATAAACTTAAAAGAAAAAGGAGAAATGATGTCATGAGTGATGGAAAACCATGGTGTGCAATCTTGACATCTATCCTAAAACCTATAGAACCTAGAGATTAGATCCATACTCGCCATTAAACATCTTGAAAAACCCCAAGAAAGTCAGCTGGCCTGTTTATGACCACTTTCCCATTTTCTTTTATTTATTTATTTATTTATTTATTTATTTATTTATTTATTTATTTATTTTAATCAAGTAAGCTATATGCCCAACCTGGGACTCGAACTCATGACCCTGAGATCAAGAATCATATGTTCCACTGAGCCAGTCAGGTGCCCCACCATTTGCTCATTTTAAAACAGAAATAATACTGCTTTCCCAGCTTATAAAGTTATATTGAGAATCAGTCAATGCAAATATCATAATAACAGTAAATATGCCAAATATATTTAAAGTATTTCATTCATTCATTCATTCATTAAACAAAGAAGCACCTGCGTTGGGCAGGGCACTATGCTAGATGCAATGATTCAAGACTGAAATACAGACACTCATGGCTCTTGAAGCTCAGAGTATTTAGGGGCTACAAATAGGTAATCACATAAAATTTAATTATTAGAGGTATGAGGAGTATCACTGGGGAAATACATAGTACTCTGGATCTAGGCCAGAATTTAGGAGTCACAAAAAGCTTTGTAGAGAGAGTTAACCTTAGCTGCGACTTGAAGGATAACTTAATGTGAAGGAAAAGTAAGAAGATCGTGGTCAGGTAGACCATGTGCAAAGGCACTGAGGTGGAGAGGCTCAAGGAATGGAAAACAATTAATTGAACTAGATAGTATGGTTTTAGGGGAAAAAAACCCTGAAAACATAGATTGGAGAGGTAGATAGGGGCAAGGTTATGAAGGGCCTTACAAGCCATCTTAGAGCTTGTCTTCTATAGTCTAAATGAAATAGAGAGACATTAAAGAATTTTAAGCAATGAAGGGCACCTGGCTGGCTCAGATGTAGAGCAGGTGACTCTTGATCTGAGTCATGAGTTTGAGCCCCATGTGGGGCCTAGAGTTCACTTAAAAAAAAAAGAGAGTTTTAAGCAGCAAGAGATAACGTGCTCACATGTTTTATGTATTTATTTTGAGAGAAAGAGAGAGAGAGCAGCAGCTGAGAGGGTGAGAGAGAGAGAATCCCAAGCAGGCTCCACACTGTCATGGCGGAGCCTGACATGCAGATCAATACCACCACCTGTGAAATCATGACCTGAGCTGAAATCTAGAGTCAGATGCAAACTGACTGAGCTGCCCAGGAGGGATTCTTATAAAACATAAATCTGGGGGGCACCTGGGTGACTCAGTTGGTTAAGCATCTGACTCTTGATTTCAGCTCAGATCATGACCTCATGATGGCAGGGTTGAGCCCGGTGTCGGGCACTGCATTGACAGTGTGGAGCCTGCTTGGGATTCTCTTTCCCTCTCTCTCTCTGCCCCTCACCCTTTCTCTCTCTCTCTCAAAAATAAAATAAGTCAATAAACATTTTTAAAAAATCCCTCTGGCTACCAAGTAGAGAAAGAATCAGACAAAGCCCAACGGGAGAATTTGAAGGCCTTTTTTTTTTTTTTTTTAAATGTTTTATTTATTTTTGAGAGAGAGATACAGACAGTATGATCCGGGGAAGGTCAGAGAGAGACAGAGACACAGAATCCGAAGACAGGCTCCAGGCTCTGAGCTGTCAGAACAGAGCCTGACGCAAGGTTCGAACTCACAAACCGTGAGATCATGATCTGAGCTGAAGTCGGACGCCTAATCGACTGAGCCACCCAGGTGCCCCCCGAAGGCCATTTGAGATAAGAACAAGGAAGAAGCAATCAGCATGCAGAGAAGTGGACAGATTTAAGATAAATTATCATTTAAAGGTGGGGAGCAGCCAGCTGGATTCAGAGTGTATCCTTTGGTCTGACAATTTCTGGCACAGAAGCCAAAACATAAAGGCGGTTTTTCCACCCTTGGCTGAGGCAACGGTGAATCTGAATTTCAAAAAAGACCCTCATCTGCTTCTGGCTCTGATAAACGACTTGTACCAAGAACAAGGAGAAAAGCTAGATAAAAGACCCAAATTTATAAAATTACAGTAAAATATATTTTAAAAATCTGTGATGGCATCAGACAGTTACCCAGGTGACTTTAAAGTGGAGATCCCAGAGACAAGGTAAGTACAAAGAGGTGAAGCCCACATTTGGTGTTTTGTTTTTTGTTTGGTTTTTTTTTTTTTGCTTTTCCTCTCTGGGTATTTGCTAATTTAGAAGTTGTAGCCAATGAGATAAGAAGATTCACAGATCTGGGTCCTCAGTCCATTAAGCGTCTGACTTCGGCTCAGGTCACTGTCACATAGTTTGTGGGTTTGAGCCCCGCGCTGGGCTATGTGCTGACAGCTCAGAGCCTGGAGCCTGCTTTGGATTCTGTGTCTCCCTCTCTCTCTGCCCCTCCCCTGCTCACACTCTGTCTGTTTCTCTCAAAAATAAACATTAAAAAAAAAAAAGATTCACAGATATAACATACAGTTTTACAGGGACAGTGAAACAAAAATTGAGTGTTAGGGCTTTCTGCAGAGAAGGACCCAAGGTTTGGAGGAGAGGTCCCTGAAGAGCTACACCCTGGGATTGAGATTGGAGAAAATGACCTGCAAGGCAAATCTGGCCCACCGCCACATTTTCTAAAGAAAGTTTTGGTGGAGTGCAACCGCACTTATGAATATTATTGATGGATGTTTTGTGCTATAATGACGGGGTGAGAAGTTGCAACAGAGGCAACTAGGCCTGAGAAGCCTAAAATATTTACTACTTGACTTTACGCAGATAAAGTTTGCTGGCCTCTACCTCCTAGAGCGGAAGGATGAGGCAAGAATGGATTAGTCCTCATGATGACAGAGTCCTGATCTGAGTCAGCTCAAACACAAAATAGATGAAGTTTCTCTGACATTCTTCTAACTGCCTCTGAGGTGCAAAAACCAGTCCTTTCTAGAGCAAACGAAGCTCATCATCCACCGCTTCATCGTCTCTACACCCTTCAGGCATGTTATTCAGCCATCAATTACAAACTACCAGGCATAAAAAAAATAATATGATCTAATGATTGAAAAGTCCAGAGGGGAAAAAAAAACTCATGAGAAAAAGAATGGAAACAGAACTAGAGGGAAATTTTTTAAAGGAGCGGGAGAGTTACAGTAGAGAATTAGAATCTATAAATAAATATGCAAAAGAAATTTTTAAACTGCAAATTTAATCATTGAATTTAAGAACTCAAAAAAATAGGCATGCCTGGGTGGCTCAGTTTGTTGAGCGTTCGACCCTGGTTCAGCTCATGATCTCACAGTTTGTGGGTTTGGGCCCCGCATTGGGCTCTGTGTTCACAGCTCAGAGCCTAGAGCCTGCTTCACATTCTCTGCCCCTCTCCTGCTTGCACTCTGTCTCTCTCGCTCGCTCAAAAAATAAAATAAAGGGGCGCCTGAGTGACTCAGTCAGTTGAGCATCCGACTTCAGCTCAGGTCATGATCTTACAGTTCATGAGTTCAAGCCCCACGTCAGGCTCTGTGCTGACAGCTTG